TTGGTTTTCTACAATACAATAAAACTAACAGTATTACAATTTCATCGTATTCTTCACTTAGTTTTGTGCAACGATAAAAACTGTCTAGTTTCTCTAAATCTGGTTAAGATGCTTAATTGCTATAATTATATGCAATATGAAACTTGTACGGTTTTCTTGAATACAAATATTTGGGTCAGGAAATTTATATCTGCAAAAATATAGTACTAATTGGCAGTTTGTCGTAATAATTAATAATCTGTTTAGGCCAAATTTTTTTCACAGATGAAAAAAGTATTCAAAGGTTTGCATGCAAGAAGTATTTCGACAAAAAAATTATTTTTGAAAATCAGGTTACATTCTCTATAAATCTGGAAATTTCACAAATTTTTTTTCTTATCTGCGTTAAGAGCAAACATTGCTTTCTTTAGTCTGTTTAAAGTATCAAATTTTTTCAGGGACAGTCGACAAGTGGCAATAAAACTTATTACGGTCAGGTTAAAACTAGCTATCATCATATTACAGCAGAAGTTTTTTTCATATATTTTTAAAACCATCTCAATCACCTGGCATACTTATGTTAATAACAATTCAAAAAAGTCAAGAAATAAAAGCTACGAAAAGTGAAAAATAATTTTTACGCTGTTTTTTTCAGCTCTGACTTAGTTGTTCCTAAGTTACTGCATTTGGCAGTAAAAAAACCTCTTTAATTACTGTGTTTAATTGATAATAATGAAATGAAAAACCAAGAGAAACTTAAATAATTTAATTAGACAAACTGTTTGGAAAAGAACCGATACAGAAGCATAAACCGTAAAAGAAATTTCAGAAAAATATTTATGCCCTCCTGGATGGTATCAACACCAGCAATTATGCTTCATAATGGTGACCATGATAAACTGTTTTAATACTTGTTAGACTTTGCGCACTTCTAATATTTTTTCATCAGTAGCACTTAAGCAGTCAAAATCAGAACTGTATATCAAACGGAGTTGCCGAAACTGGCTACGTTTAATCTAAAAAGTAGTATATGTGACTTCTTTTACGTTAAAAACACAGACCGGTAATATTTGGTTTTTTTTTATAATGGTGGTTTTTCGTTAACTGGTGCTCTGAAAACATTCAGCAACATATATGAATTCTCAGAGTCTTATGCAGGCTAAGAACAGTAAAATGTTCAATCAAGACAAGCAAAAAACAGCAAAGTTGTCAAAGTCTGGTGTTTATGTAGAAATTTTTAGGTAAAAATAAATAAATTTCCTTGTACTTTCTTCAATCAAAAGTTTTCCAGTGAAGCTTTTGGTATACCTCATGATTCATATCGGATTAGAAAGTGTAATGATTTGTAATTTGCAAGCAGCAATCGATAGAATTAACAAGTATTCTGAAAAACTAATTTTTCGACACCTACCCCGATTATAAATAATTGTATTTGAAAAGAACAAGTAAGAATTTGAAATTGACGAAAGCCAACAGTTTGATTTCCACAACTTTATTCTTCCAATTTTTCAGATTAATCAACGACTGAATTTTGAAAACGCTCAACGTCACTGTGAAGCCGAGGATAGTATGCTAGCATCATTTTCGACAGTGGAGGAGTTTAAAACGATAAAGCGTAAGACTTCTTCACTTTTGGGTAACGCAAGTAATCTGTCATACAACAGTAGTTATCATACACAACAAAATTGATCATAAAACAGTCTGATACTTTCTTGTTACCCCGCTATTTCTCCATAGTACAGAACCAATAATTTGTTACCAGTTGTGTAAACAGCAATTATGAGCAGAAAAGTGCTTTCTAAATGGATTAGGTTTAGCCAGCATGAAATACACAACCTCGATGAATTAACTTATAAGTCTTTCAAAATTCTTTGCCTTCATTCAAGTAACGAAGCTCAGAAATTAAACATTAGTAAAAAAAA